GGATAGAAAGAACTATCCTCAACCTGTATTGATAGCTAATAGCCTGCTTATTGGTCTAACCCTGAATGGTTTCCCTAAGATCAGAGGAAGGCAAATTTGTCTATTCTTATTGCTGTTATGCAATATCATGCTGGTGGTAAAGCTATTAAACAAAAACTTTGGGGAAAAAACAAAGGGGAAGAGTTTCATAACACTAGGCTACAGATTTGGCAATGATTTCTCTGATAGAACAACAAAAGAAAATAAACTGGGCTTCATCTCATTAAAAAGTTTTTGTGCATCAAAAGACACTATCAACAATGAAAAAGCAACCCCTGGAACAAGAGAAAATATTTGCAAACTATACATCTGGTAAGAAATTAATATCTATAATATATTTTTTAAAACTCCTACAACAAAAACAAACCTAACTAAAAATAGGCAAAGGATAGGAAATGTTGATAATGGAAGAGACTAAGAACTGGGGTTGTGGGGAATATATGAGAGATCTATAAATTCTCAACTTTGCTGTGAACCTAAAATTACTAAAAAAATAAATAAAAATAATAAAAAAGGACAAAGCACTTAAACATTTCTCTATAAGAATATAAACTGACAATAAACATGAAAAGTTCAACATCACTAGTCATTAAGGAAATGCAAATGAAACACCATTTTACTTTATCATTCAAAAAACAGAGAAAATAAATGGTGAAAATGTGAAGAAATTTAAACCCTTGTCCATGTAAAATGGAGCAGCCTCTGGGGAAAACATATCTTGGTTCCTCAAAAATTAAATATAGAATTATCATATCAGCAATTTCACTTCTGAATATAAATCTGAAAGAAATGAAAGCAGGAAACCCAAAAGATATTTATACACAGCAGTATTCTTAATAATAACCAAAAAGTAGAAACCTAAGTGTCCATCAATGAATAAACAAAATGTGACATTTTGTTCAGAATATTGTTCAGTCTTAAAAGTGAAGGAAAGTCTGATCTGCTCCTACAAGATGGATGAGCATCAATGACATTTGGTAAGTGTCATAAGCCAATTGCAAAGGACAAATACTGCTTTTGCCTGCTTTGTTCAGGTTGCTATTAACTATCTATCATATACTGGCTTATAAACAACAGAAATTTATTTCTCACATTTCTGGGGAATGGAAGTGTGAAATCAAGGTGCAGGTATGGTCCACTTCTGATAATCCTCTTTTGCATTGCAAACTGCTGACTTCTACCTGTATTCTCATATGGCAGAAAGAGAGAAAGCTAGCTGTCTGGTCTCATGACCTAAAGACTTCACAAATGCCACAATTCCAAATATCCTCACATTAGGGAATTAGACTTTAACACAAATTTTATGGTAATACAGGCATCTAGTCCGTTCAACGAATAATCTAGAACTTCAAATTCAAAGTTGAATAGTATTAAGAATTGTAATGCAAAATAAATAAATAAACACATTTTTAAAAACAAGTTGAATATTTAGCTGTCAGGAGCCAGTGGGAATAGCAAATAGAGAATTACTATTCGATGGTGTTATGAGTTCATCTCCTGTTACTATAATGAAACACCTGAAGCCAAAAAAACTTTATAAAAAGAGGTTTATTGAGCTCACAGTTCTGGAGGTTGGGGTCTGATGATGGTCTCAAGGCAGATGGCACCTCAATGGTGGGAATGCATGTGAGAGGGGGTTGGGTCGGGGGAGAGCTAACATATAGTCAGAGGAAGCCAGAGATGCAGGAGTCAAGCTCAGGCTTTTAATAACCCCTTGTGTTTTCAGGAGCTAAATGAAGATCCCAGGAACTATGTTAAATCCCTCTCAAGGGCATGCCTCCCATAATCTAACACTAGACTTTAGTTCTACAAAGCCATATTAAGAACCAAGTCTCCAACACATGAACCCTTGTGTGGATGAACTCAACCCA